CACACGGCCCACCAGCCGGGGCTTCATGTCTAGCGTCGACCTACGGCAGCTTGTGAGCGGTTGTGAGTCGAGCGCGGACGCAGAAGAGGAGCCAGGGCGGCCTGTGTTGACCAAGAGTTTGACGACCAGCTCCGTGGGTGTGGCGAGCATGAAGAAGAATTTCTCGCTCGGGGACCTGGCTGGCGGCCGCCGAGCGCGAGAAGGGAGGGACCTTACAGGGGAGCAGCCTGCGCCGGAGTTGCTGCAGAGCCCGTCGGCGTCGGCGATGACGTGGGCCACCTACATAGAGACGATCAAGGAGGGCAATGAGGATGACGGTGTCTTCTTCTGAGGGGTGCGAAAGGCACCGGAGATGAACAGAGGAGGACTCGGCAGTAAGCATGCGAGGGGGTATCTACGGGATAAAGGGGAGGTGTGGAGGGCGCGAAATGCGCGACAGAGGGGGTGGCCGTCCTTCTGAAGTCGGCTTATATCTCTGCTGTGGGGCAGTAATGCTCAGAGCTTAGACTCTAGGAGACCGTTTTGGGCGGTTGATCCCAGTAGCATGTGGTGAGACTGCGCCGACAAGGAGGGAAAGAGCGGCGTAGGAGGCACAATCGGAAAGATTGTGGAGAGGAGGAAAGTAAATTATGCAGCCTTCAAATTAAGGAAGCTGCCGTATCTCATCAACACCTCGGATCGAACCAAGGCGCGTGCTTCATGATGCTGACTCAGTGTGGCCTTAAATGTGGGAGTCTGCTGGAGGAAGAGGAAGGCAAGGGGGGCGAGCTGGGAGAGGGGTGGTTCACGTCAAAACTTGGGTGGGATGTTTCTTTGGGCACGTCGCAGTCGTTGGTGAGACAAATGCGATAGCTTGTCATGTATATTCGCTGCTTTAGAATAAGCAGGCGGGGGGTTGGGTGTCTTTGATTTGCATTGACTCGGATGGGCCTTTTACTGGAATAAAGAAGGGATTGAAAAAGGATGCCAAAAAAGAGACGGGAAGGAGACGGCGAGCCAGAAATTGAATGATTCGGGAAGGCGGGAGTAAGAAAAGAAAGAAGGATCCGGTCAAAACATGTAAACCGAAGAAGAGATAAAGCGTGGAGTCCCTGTAACCCTAACAGGCGGACTACTTATTTTTGGAGAGAAGACATTGCGCTCTCTCCCACGGCTCGGCTCTGAGAGCTATCTCTTCCCTCCCCTTAAATTTAGCTGAGATTTACCATATCCTCTGCCATCTGACTCCTTTACAATGGGTGCCTTCCTTGTATCTCTCCATCGAGGACCTGCCCCTCTCCGCCTCTCAAATCGTCATCCTTGCCCACCTGTAAAACCGCCTCTTTAGGTATGTTTTCGATCAGAAACGCTGTGGCCGCCTCCACCGTCTTCTCGCACCCGCTTTCTAATGTGATAACTACCCGCGGGCGGGTCTCCCCATAGAATGGATAGCTCCCAAACACGCAACCTTCTGGCTCGAAATGAGCCACCGCTTGGTTCAACGCCTCAACGATTTCCACTTCGTCCAATCCCAGGACAATTTTCCGGGTGTAAATGGGGAAGTGGTTCAAGAAGTGGTCGACGATGGTGTCCATTTTGGCTTCGAAAAAGGACGGTACTCCTGGAAGAACGTAAACGTTTCCGCACATCAAAATGGGCCACACTTTGGTTTTGGAAGCGACCGCAACCACAGCTGCTGCCGTGGCTGTGGTTGCTGCCACGGTTGTAGCCTCTGTGGTGAACGCGGAGGGGGGAGTGGGTGCAGGGGTCGGGGAGGGCGG